GGTGGGGGAAATTTGAAAAAAAAAAAAAAAAAAAAAAGAAAACCACAAAAAAAAAAAAAAAAACCCTGATTTTGGAACCTGTGCATTTAGGTAAGAGTGTGGGCAGAACTACAAGGACACTTGGAAAGTAGAGAGCAATTTAAAGATCTCATTGCAGCAAGCAGATGAAGAGCCTGTCACAGATCTGCAACAAGTAAAGGGAGGTTGAGTGGTTGTTTATATTTGGTATGTTTTTAAAGTGTGACCTATGTACATCCCTATGTATCTAAATCAGGGAAATAGAGTTGACAAGGGAAGCCGGAAAGCAAAGCAAGAGCAGTGAAATGAAACTTAGCATTTGTTATCCAGGCTAAGAGGAAAAGAGACCTTTCAAAATAGGTACTGGCCCTTTGAGCCATCCGTGCAATTCGTGCCCAGGTTGACAGGATTCTGCTGCTGCGCTGGGAAAAGGAAAATTTCAAGGTGCTTTTCCTCAGAGGGAGACAGGGTTCTTTGGGGGGTTTTGCGCATTTGCAGTTCCTCATTTTCTATGCTCTCTGCTGTTTCCAAGTATCTGCTTTAGCCTAGAGCTTCAGTTTTGTTGTCTTTGTGTGGCTCAGTCGATGGCAGCTCAGTGAATCTTGCTGGAATAGCCCTGCCTCTGGTCTGTCTGGGAGCACTGTCCTAATTAGCTGTCCCTCTCTGTCACCTGTGTCTTGCAGCAGGAACAATTAAGTGGGTTTGTATCTAGGTATTGTATCATAGTTTTGAAGTAAAGGTGAGCTTCCTCTTTTATTTTCACTAACTTGTGTAACCACTGCTAATGTGCTAGAAATTGTCCAAACTGAACTTCAAATTTTGTAAGTGGGTCTGTTTGTTTGTAGATTGACATATGTGTGTCTACCTATTTACTCAGTAGTCTTTCACAAAGATTTTCTGATAAGTTTTGAGATCTTTTTCTTCTTATTTTATCAATCCATGATGATGCTACAGGCCATAATTCAAGTTGCCACCAAATAAAAATGGCTCAGCTTTCTGTTACTCACAGTAGGTGTAGTGAAGCTAAGTTTCACCACAGAAACTTGCAGATGTCCAGGGAAGAAGGAGACAACACAAGGGAAGGGATGGGCCAGAAGAGCTGCTTCTGGCAACAGTGCTCCCTTAAAGAGGAAAAGAGCTAGAGTGTCAGCAGCAGAGCAGGAGTGAGTTTAAAGGGAATATCAACTGGCCCTGGCAGAACTGCCTTGATGACTGGTGTATGATTTTGGTCAGATTGAATAGAGGAGAGACTGGGAGGAGGGTTGTCCTTGCAGTGACCTGAAATTTTGTGAATTGATTAAAGCTGCAAGGCAGTCTTCATAATTTCCTGCTTTCTATTGAAAGAGCTCTGCAACATGCTAACGTGTTTATGTGAAAACCAAGACTCACCACCACCACAAAGCAGGCTGCGAAATGGCTGTCCACCAGCAACCCTAATTGGTCTGATCTGATGAGCAGTAACCTTCTGCAGAAAGATGGGTTGAAGGCAGCTTTGGCCAATTCCCTGGTGACAGCAGCCAAAAGGCTTTTTGCTTTTCATATTCACCGGCTTTAAAGAAAAGAGTCTGTGACCTAAGAGTAAGAGGGGTAATTGGGACCGACCAGTCACCCTGGCAATGGCCTTCAGCACGAACTGAGAACTTGCCAGCGCGCTCCCTGCCTGGCTGCTGGAGCCAGGGACACTAAATGCAGCAAAGCTCAGGGACAGAATATTTTACCAGTGTAGCCAGGCACACCTGACATCAGTCTGTAGTTTGTTGATTGAAGCTGCTTGTGCTGTCCTGGGCCACAGATGGACTGTCCGGGCTTCCTTCTGCCTGTGACCCTGGTGCAGGGACTTGCTGCTGGTTTTGGGGTGAATACAGGAGTACATCCAATTGCACCACTGACACACAGGCACTTGTACAGCGGGTTAGGTTGGAAGGTCTGCCCGTTAAGGTAATAAACTCCATTGAGCTCACATCCTACAGCTACCAGATCTGCAAATGGTAAACAGCAGTTACTGACACAGGAGGAGCAGGTGGTTCCTGCTGACAAACTGCTAAAATGTGATCAGCCTTTACTGTACCCACAGCTTCCAGTTCTTCCCAGCCCAAACACTTTTTTTATTATTATTATTTATGCCCAGTGACTACAGCAGCCTGACTTGAAATCAGTCATCAAAGCGTCTGCAAATAACACGCTTGTGCACAATGAAGTGGTTTCACTGGTACATAGGTAAGTTTAAGGCCACCCCCAGCCCTACTCTCAGATTCTCTGACTGCTGGAGGACTCGATTAGGATAACTTGCCTTGCCCAGAGCTGTGCGGCACCAGCAAGCGGAGTTTTCCCCCAAACCCATCCCCCTGGGTGGTCCCACCCTCCTGGATTTCAAGAAGGGAACGTGAAGGAGCACTTACACGCGCACACGCCTGTTTCGTACCGAGGCTCGTCGGCCGAGTAGTCGCAGTAGAGGCCTTTGTGGGGGTCACAGATGTCTGCTTCGTTGCAGGTCTCTCCTGCCTGCTTGGCACAGACCCTACAGCAGCCGCAGCCATCCTTCACCAAGCTCACCCCGGGAGTGCAGGCCGGCACCGGCGGGCACCTGCACGGCCACTGACAAACCTCCTTGCGCTGGGGGACTTCACCGGTTTCGGAAGGTTTTTCTCCAGGTTTCACTGGTGGGCTGTGGAAAAACTTACACACAGTGGGGTGTTTTGAGAGCTGAATGCATTGTGCGTAGCTGGGATAGCATAAATGGAGCTGGGATGGAAAAAGCTGTGAAGTTGTATGAAGACACTTAACATTTCTCATCACAGGGGATCCAAAAAGTGCGAGGCTGTGAGGTTTAGGTGGGAGACACAGGACCAATTTCATCAGTCACTGTCACGTGCTGAGGTGTCATTCCACCAGTGAGCCTGGCCTACTGCCTGTATGCAACACAATTAATTGGTCTTTCCTTTGCCTTCAGTAGAACAGAAGCTGTAGTGGAGCTGAAGTAGGAAAAAAAGTGTTTTAAAGTAGGTGGTGGATTTATTTTAAATATTCCTTCCCACGAGCCTCCTATCAAATTAGTTGACTTTTGATTCCTCCCCCTGTTTGATAGCCAGCCATCGTGCTCTGTGCCACTGCTGATGGCAAAAGCCTTTTAAAATAATAAATCTCTTTCAAGTGTTATTTTTGCTCCAAAATTTGGCTAGCTATTTGGGAAGGAGCATTATAGTATTTACAAATTCTCTTGTCCTGGACACAAAAATTGAATCCTAATAAGGGAGGCTGTAGTTGGACTGAGCTTAATAGGTCATTCTCTAAGAGTGTTATCTGTTTGCATACATAAGTGGTCATTGAATCCAGGGCTTACAGGGCAAAGACATAGCTCTAAGACAGATTTGTATTAGCCGTAGAAAGTCAAGATCTAGCCAGAATTTACTGTTTTCCAGAGTCTCAGAATTCACATCTTTTTTTAAGAAAAGGAAGTCTGAAGTAATTCTTGATGGGTTCATTTTCCTGAGACATTGGGGAAGATTGTCAGCCCAGATAGAATATAGCTATCTACTTTTCTGAAGAACTACATCTAAAGCCTAACAGTCTAGACCTTAGCATCAGATCTTTTCATGCTGCTGATTTGAGCAGAAATGCAGATGGTGATATAGTTATTCATCGCAGATGAGCGGATCCGTAGTGGAGTGGGGGCACGCACAGCCCTTGGCCACCAGCACAATGTAGGGCCTGGGAGCTGCTCTCAGCAGGCAGCTCTGGCTGCCCACAGAGCAAGAGGGAGGGAGGAGATCCAGCCTCTCATAAGGTGCCAGTATCACCATCTACCTTGAAGGAAAAAAAAAAAAAATACTTATATATACTATGTTTTTTTCTGGGTTCATGAAGCCCCACCTCCCAGTTTCTCCCTTTTCCTCCAATCTGGACTCTACTGATGCAGAAACCACCTCCAGCAGAGGCTAAGGGAAAGCTGGGGAAGTGCTGCTCAGTTGGGTTTCCTTTCAGATCAACTTTCCAAAGGGAAGTATCTGCAGAATTCAGCATTTCATATGTTATATCCCATGAAAGCTCTGCAGCATTCTGGAGCTGGCCTAATTGCATGCAGCAGTAAATGACCTTTTAAAAGGCTTTTTTACCACTAATTTCCATTTTTCATAGTCATTTACAACTGTACTTACGATATCATAATCCCCAGCTACTAATGAAGCTCCAAAGTAGAAGCTTTCAAGTTCCTTTGGCTAAATGATTTTAAAGATACATATTAATTCAGAGACAATTATAATAAATGAATATTAACCAATGTCACGTGGCATTCCATGCAGCATGCAGAAGAGTTTCATTAATGTGTTGTTTTGTTAATCATTTGCTGATAAAGGATTTCTTCTAATTCTTTTTACCTAAATGCAGCAATAATACAGGAACAACTAACTTAAGTATACTTTTTTTGGGCAGCTATGCCTTCCCTATAGCTTTCCCTATAGCTTTCCCTATAGCTTTCCCTATAGCTTTCCCTATAGCTTTCCCTATAGCTTTCCCAGCTATAAACCATGCTGTTAATTTGATGAACGTGTGCATTGGAGTGTAAAGCTTCTTAAAGCCTTGTTCCGGAAACAAGAGATGCAGGTGTTCCCACACATTTAGCGCTAGAACAAGACCACGTGGCTGTTTTAGGAAAGAGTTTCTTGCTGCTTTTTTTCTTTTTAAGCAGAACATTATTAGGAATTTGGCCATGTGCCAGCTATATGAGGTTCTGTGGCTTAAATCAGATATCATGTTTCAAAATGGGTATGTGTAGCAGGAAATAATCTGTGTTCTTCAACCAGTAAGTTTAATTTGTATTACAAATTCAAATGTTCTTTAAACCTACAGAATTCTACCTAAGCAAGTGATATTTTTTTTCTCAGCTATTTTTAGGGAAAGTTGTCAACTGAAAGGTGTGAGATTACAAAGTTTCCCAGTAAGAAAAACACCATCAAGCAAATATCTGATGATTTTAACTGTGGAATTACTGAGAAGCTCCATCCCCCTGAAAAATCTTATACAATCTATAAAGTTACAATGAAATTTTAAATTTTGCTTGTAAAATTTACAGGCCAAATATTTTTCTAACTCTTGCTTCCCAAAGTTTCTATGCCAAAAGGATTTATACCACACAAGCCCATCGCATACTTTTCCTGGTCGGCGGATCAGAAGAGGCCATTATGTAGGAACCCTTCATGTAGTGTTTGTTTTCCTATGTTTTAAAGATTCAATAAGGTCTGTTTGGCATAAATAAGCAAATAGCAAAAGTAGGCAATGTATTATTGCTAATGTTTGGTTATCTTAGTCTGACTTTAAATATACAAAAATTTAGCAGAGGGAGACAGGCATTTGAAAATTCTCGATTTGACATTCATTTTGAACGGAAAGGAAAAATACACTGCGTACGCATAAAGTGGATTTTCAGAATGAAGTAAATAAATAATGAAATTGGCCTTTGACACAAATACTTTCAGTGAAAGCTATCACTTAAAATTTTCTCATAACAGACAAAGCATAACACAGCCCCGGTGCCTTCCTCATTTGTAAAACAGCCTTAAGACAGACCACTGTGTACATATATGTATATATATATGGAATATGAGCATGGACAAGATGTATACTTTCTTAGTGCATCAGATAACCATTCGTGCTTATATTAAAAATAAAAAGCAATGTCACTGACAATTTCAGCTTCCCTAACACTTTTTTTTCCACCAAATCATATTAAGGTACAGATTAGAGGCAAAAAGATACCAAAATCAGGACTGATGCAGTAAATAAGCTGCAAATGAAATTTACTCAGGAGTAGGGAACGGTTCCTTATGCTTTATGAGGAATTTGCTTCTCTGAAATTTATGTTGTCATTAAGCAAATAAATGGTTTAAACCAGGACAGGGGGAGGGAGGGAGGGAGAAATCTTTTTCTTCTTTTTAATGAACTTACCTGTTGCGTACAAGGGATGATGAAGATGGTGGGAAAAAGGAGCCACCGCATGTTCCTGCACATTCAGGAGTGAGACTGGGAGATAGGGAACAGGCTGAGCTGTGTCAGAGGAAGCACTGAACACAAAGCTCTCCTCTGTCTCCCTTGCCAACCCTGCTTTCCCCAGCACATGCACGAACACATACACACATTCACACTTGAAATTCTCCGCTTCATACAGAACCAGCTTCACGCTGAAATTTCCAACTGATCCTCTTTTCTCTGCCCAGCACTAGAATATGCATTTTCACACCCTGCTTGATCCCATCCAGCTGCTTCAGCAGATTCTGCCTGACTTAATTGAGGTCAGGTGGGGTGACATCTGATTCTTAAAATCATGCTGCTGGAAATGTAGTGTTATTTTTAACTTGTCTTTAAGTCCATATTACAGGAATTTCTGAAATCTGAAGGGCAGAGCCTAAAATACGTCTATTTTTTGAGACAGAGAAAGAAGATTTTCCCCATAACTTCTGATACATTTTGTCTAGCGGAACCATAGTGTAAAAATTAACACCATCAGTACGTGCTCCCTAAATGGGGAAAGAGATTCTATAGTGTGTTATAACACTAGTGCATATTCTGCACTGCTGCTTTCCATGGAATCCTAAAGGGAAACCCAATTTATAATGTACTTTTCCCTGAAGTCTCACTGCCATGCCACCCTGCTTAAACACAAAAATTCAAATCCCCAGATTTCCTTCTTCCTAATACTAGTGAGGTGACGTGCCTGATTTTTAGGCTAACAGGAGAAGATAAAAGCTCCACCACTGCAATAGTGGTGTTGGGGATTCTCTGGTGAGTGTTTGTCCTCACTCAGCCATCTCCTGCGAAGTCTAAGGGAGGCTGCCAAAGCCCACGCTCACACAGCAGCTCTGTGTGGACAGAGGCAGTGATGGGAGTATCGAATCAAACCCAGGCTGAGCAGTTTTGGTTGCCTCCCCGACTGGGAGCACCACAAGCCCTCTGTAGTTACAAATGAATCCTGAACTGCCCTCCAAACTCTTGAGCAGTCAGCTGTAAATCACTGAAAAACTGTTCTTCTTTAGCACGTCCACTTTGTCACATGCTTCAACAAGCTCCAAACAATACCTAGGTACTGAGTGGATGCTGCAGATCAGCTAATTTCAGTGACATTACTCTGAGTATGCATCTGTTCAGACCAGGACTGACTAAAACCTTGTGTTTGCCATTAAAAGCTTAGGAACACAGCACCTAGGTTTCTCAAAAATCCCTTCTGTATACTTTCAAAACACAGCTTGTTCCATAGGATTGGAGGATAGCTAAGGTTGGAAGAGACCCAGGAGGTTTCTAGTCCAACCAGTGCTCAAGCAGGGTCAGCCCTGAGATCAGACCAGGTTACTCAGAGCTCTGTCTATTTGGGTCTGGAAAACCTCCAAGGCTGGAGGCTGCCAGACCTCTCCTGGCAGCCTTTTGGAGTGATAATAATGAGAAATGCAGGCTGTCTGAGGAGATCCCAGGTACAGTTTTCTCCTGCAGATCCAAAGACACCCCTTTCACCCTCCAACCTGGAAAAAGTAAGGAAGGTCAGAGGACGAGGACATCCATTCTCCTTGGGCATGATGCAGGGGAGCACACAGCGCTCATCTGAAATGTGTTGTTACTCTTTGCATCGCAGAAATAAAGGCTGTGGCCAGTGCAGAGCTGGGAATCTTCTGTGTGAGCTGG